TTATCTTGTCATTCATGAAGAGACTCAGTTCAACATTAGTGTAGATGAACACAGTGTGGCTTTTGTTTCATTTGATTGCTTGTGACCTTTTTAATTGCTAATTTAACAAAATACCAAAGGGTTATATTTCAATTAAATTAACAATTTGAGGAAGGTTTTTTTTTTTTTGTATGTTTATTTTTAAGATGTTCTGGTTCTAATTTTCACTTTGAGTGGATAAAAATGTCTTCTCTTTACTAGAGAAATGGGTTTTCTAATGTGGAGTTCAGAGTACAGTCATCATTTTAATATGCCAAAGGTTCAGTGCCAGCATCTTTCATGTGTGGTTGGGGTCACCCCTTCCAGAAGGGTAAACGCAATAAAGGGATACATGCAGATCCACTGAATCTTTCTGGTCCAGCACAATGCTTTTGGTGTAATACTTTGCTCTTCTCTCTTTGTCTTTAGGTAGAATCTTAGCCTGCACCTCTCCCTGCCTTGTACTGCATCCCTTGGGCTCTCTAGCTAGTCTGTAAGATCCTGAAGATCAGGAACCCTGCCTTGTCCTCACTAATGTCCCCCCACCCACAGCCAGCACACTGCAGGTTGCAAGTCACATGGATACACAGACCTGCCCCCGCCACACAATGGCACACCTTGGCCTGTTTGAGAATTGGCACCAGGGTTCTGAGACCAGAAGTTCCCATTCCGTAGATAACCTGCTTTGCAGTGAGCAGCAGATTTGGAGGTGACTTCAGCACTGTTCCTTCCCAACTCTCTCCGCTGCTGTTGCCCTTCTGATCATAAAAGCAAACATGGCCCTTGTCAGCCAGGGCAAGGCTCAGAACTCACCCAAGTATCAGGGGCCTTAAATCGTCAAATGGGATATGAATTTACACTGTCAGAGAGTAGAAGGTCAGTGCAGGAAGCATTAGTGTGTTGAGCTAGCTCCAGCTATATAAGTCTTGAACAAAATTAATATAAGGAAATTGACAAGCCTTGCTGGTTATTCCATAGCTTTAAGACCTCTACTAAAATCCTATCATCTCATCTGCCCGTTATTAACATTTCAGCAAAATATAAAGTTTTCATTAATCTCCCACATCAAATTTAGGAGTGAAAACTGGCACTTGTTTGAGCTTTTAGGACTACATTAGCTGGTGTATTAAACAAAATATGTCATTCTTCAGTAGCTTCTATAAGAAGCTAAATCAATTTCTAGCCATATTTATGCACCACTTTATCTAAAAGCATCTGAATTATCATTTACAGCTAAGATGCTTTATTAGCAGCTGGCATTGAAATTGCTCAGTAAAAAATTATATGTCACGTTATAGTAATTTTTAAATTGGTTTTAATCCAACATCGTAAAATGTAAAAATCTTAAGTGTGTTTTTTTTAGTAATTGGCATTTTAGCATAATAAGCTGTAACCTCTTTGCAAATCAAATACCTGCAATATTTAGAAAACACTAATTAGTAAAGAAAACAGAAGTTCTTGAGCTCAGAGCTAAGTCGTATCTAATAGTGGCATTTTCTCAGAAAAGATAATTTCAAATGACTTTTAAAATGTTAAAGGACGTTACATATTTTACAGAAATTCTCCATAATTCTCATGTATTAGGAATTCTAAAATAGAAATAAATACATCTAGGCAGTTACATTTCAGTAAAGTTGTAGATTGGAGAAAGTGAATGATTAAAAGTCCTAGCCAGTGCCTCAGTTCCAGATGTGGACATCACCTGGAGAAGGTGGTGATTGTGACCACAGCATCTCTGACCAGAGGCATAGGTGTTGTACCCAAGGTTACCCAGCGGCCCCCACAGACAGGGCAGCTGTGCTAGGATATAGCACCATGGTGTTAGAGTCCTCGGCCTCTGCAGTGCTGTCCTTCCTGTAGACATAGCACCTGTATTCACCTGGTAAATTTTCACTGGGCTCTTGCTTCAGTCATTTTCTGTGGTCATTTACAGCAAAATGGAGGAATCTGGAAAACATCATGCTGAGTATACTAAGCCAGTCCCAAAGGGCAAATATCATAAGTTCTCCCTGATCTGTGACAATTATCTGAGCACCTAAAAGGAAACTTTTAGAACTGAAACTGACACCATGAGAAGCAATGACTTGATCATCCCTTGTCCTGTCGAGGAACAGCTTACTATTTTATTCTTTTTAGTATTTTCTTTTTCTACTTAATACAATTGGTTGAACTCTTTACTTAACACAGAATTATTCTTAGGTGTTTACAGCACACTCATAGAATGACAAACACCCTAAACAGCACTCTGGCCTCAGAATCAGTCCTTAAGGCATTCGGATCTGGTTAAAAAGCCCATGAGAGCATTTCAGGCATGGAAAGTCATGACACTGTGGCAAAAAATGACCTAAATGAAAGACCTCTGCGAGAGATTCCAGTGGAAAGAAGGGGCCATCAAAGAAGGAAGTACCTTTCTCTGAAGGGAGGAGAGAACTTCTACTTTGATTATGGCTCTGTCTAAATAATGTCAGAGTTTGTGGACTCAAGAGGCTTCCATAGCCATGGCAGCTCATGACAAGAGCCTCTGGTGATCACTGACATCATAAATAAAGAGTGTCAATTGTTAAATCAACAACAGGAGTCACTGTGTACTTGCTCCCCATGTAGGACTCCCCATCTGTAACTAGTCTTCAAACAGTACTTTATACTTTGAGTGTCTGTGTGGGTACAAACTGTTAAAAATATTTACTTAGTATAGAGTTGATCTTCTGAATATAAAGATAATTGAAAGTGAATCTTGAATGGGATGGGAGAGGGAGTAGGAGGTGGGATAGGAGGGCAGTTATGGGGGGAAAAATCACTATAATCCAAGTTATACTTAATGAAATTTATGTTTATTAAATATAAGCTTTCTATAAAAAATTTTAAAAGTGAAAAACAAAAAAGATTGATTGATTGATTTAAAAGGCAGAGATACAGAGAGAATGAAAGCTTCCTTCTACTGGTTCACTCCCCAAATGGCTGCAATGACCAGGGGTAGGCCAGTCCAAAGCCAGGAACCAGGAGCTTCTTCCAGGTCTTCCACGTGGGTGCAAGAGCCCAAGGACTTGGGCCATCTTCCTCTCCTTTCCCAGGCACATTAGACTAACACCACGGTGCTATATCCTAGCACAGCTGAATTGGAAGAGGGGCAGCCAGGATTCAAACCAGTGCCCACATGGGATGCCAACTCTGATGGTGGAGACTTAACCTTCTATGCCACAATGCCAGCTGCTGGCTCTGGCTTCATCCTCTGCTTAGGTAGTAGCACTGGCAGGGTCTCGGCTACAGCAGTGAGTAAAGCCATCACTGTGCATGTAGAGTGGCAGGCAGATGATTACTGCCTGTGGTAAGTGTTCTAAAGGAAAACACAGGGTGCCGTGCCAGAAAGAGCAGGACTAGATTTGGGGGCTGCGGGAAGTCTCCTTGGAGTGTCGCTTGAGCTAAGCACTTTGGCAGGAATCAGGAGACCAGGAGAGCAGGAGGTGGGCAGAAGGGTGGCCTGGGCAGAGAGGACAGCACATGCAGGACTCTCTATGATGGGACTCTGTTGGAGGCCTCCCCACATCCCGACGCAGAAGTGTTTTGTGGGTACTATACAGAGCGATCCGAGCTGGGAGTTACTGTAGTGCTCAGAAGCAGAACATGCAGCCCCTAATAAATGAGTTCAGCGTGAAAACATTTAGGTCCAGTGTTAATGGCGCAGTGAATTAAGCCTCTGCCTGCAATATCAGCAAGCTATGTGGACACCGGTTTATGTTCAGCTGCTCAACTTCCGATCCATCCCCCTGCTGGTGTGACTGGGAAAGCAGCAGGAGATGGCCCTAGTGCTTGGGCCCCTGCCACCTACTTGAGACACCCAGAAGAAGCTCTTGGCTCCTGTCTTCAGCCTGTCCCTCCCCAGCTGTTGCGGCCATCTGGGGAGTGAACCAGCTGATGGAAGATAGATCTCTCTCCTTCCCTCCCTCCTCCTCCTCTCTATGTAACTCTGACTTTCACAGAAATAAATAAATCTTTAAAAAAAAAAAAAGAACCTTGCTCTATAAGCAATGAGTGTAGGAAAGGAAAGTGTGTAGTTGTCAGGCTACCAGGTAATTAACAAAATTTTCCAGTTTGATATGCAAATCTCAAGTTTTCCATTCTCTGAACTCGGGGGGGGGGAGGGATGAATTTTGACAGTTCTAAGGTGATGGTGGGTGGGCCTTAGGCCAAGGGAGCCAGGTGAGCAAACGCTCAGAAGAACAGAACCTTGGGCATGCTGCAGCCTGAGGACTTCAGGGAGAGCTGAGAGACAGCGGGCTCAGAAAGTGACGCTCCAGCCAGGTTAGGGCTGCACTGACCACTGGGCTGCAGGACACTGGGCTTGGTTCAGGAGCCTGGAGCAGCCAGGTGAGACCTTCGAGCAGGAGTCTTCTCTGTCCCCAGTGTCACCTATCAGAACACTTAGCGTGTGCAAGGCTCTCGTCGAACATTTGGTGAATGAATAAATGATAGAAAAATCGGGAAGTCTGTGGCAGCTGGATTGTGGGGTGGTCTGGGGGCCAGAAGACTAGTGAGGAGACTATCCCAGTAGCCAGCCCCCGCCTGAACCTGGAGGCTGTGGGGTGCGGGGCGGGGGTGCTGTTAGGCAGCCGGCTTGGGGAAATCCTGGAAAGGACAGGAATTCTTCAGTATTATTTTGTAACCAGGAAAATCACATTTAGGAAAAGAACAAGACCGAGCTCTTGCTGAGAGGAGGCAGGAATTTTTCTATCCTTGTACCCCTACTGCCAGCCATGGGCCTGCCCTGGAACAGCCAGTGTTTGTAGAATTAATTGTTGAATGATTAATATGTTACCATTCCCTGTTTACTGGAACAGCATTATTGAGTCATCGCTCAGCCCTTTCTTCTCTTCTCCAAATTAAATAGCCCATATTATTTTAATTTATCCCAAAGCATTTTAAGCAGACACCATTTGCCAAGCCTCATGTATCTTTATGTGGTAAACTCCTTTTTTCCTCCCCAGGTTCAAGGGCAGACGGAGTTTTTGAGGAGGATTCGCAAATTGACATAGCCACAGTACAGGATATGCTTAGCAGTCACCATTACAAGTCCTTCAAAGTCAGCATGATCCACAGACTGCGATTCACCACCGACGTGCAGTTAGGTAAGTGTGTGAGCAGACAGTGAACCAGGCCCGTGAGGTCAGTGGTCTGTGTAGAACTAGGGAAAGGGGCGCATGCGCCTTTTGTGTGACCTGAGTGGCTGACTGTAAGGTCATCTGCTTTCTGAGAAAATGTTTGAGCAGTGAAATTTAAAGTACAGCCTTTTTCCCACCTGAGTGCTCTGTCTTATCTTCTTTTTTATGAAGCAGAAGATTAGAAATAGAACTAACTAGAGACTCTTTTCAAAGTGATTGACTTCTGTGAAGTTCCATAACCCTGTTCACTCCGAGCCCCGCCTCCCCCTCGCGTGCCGTCCCTGGGCCTGCTGTGTAGCACTGCCACCCACCTTGCCTTACTTGGTGAACTCACTGCCTGCGGGAAGCTGCTGGTCCTCTCAGAAGTTATATTGGATCATCACCAGATAATCTAGAACTAGCTTTCCACTAATACTTGCAATTAGTTTGTTCTGATTAAGTGTCAAATTTCTGTTTTGACCTAAACCTAACAGGAGTACCAAGTGTGACAGTAGTCAACATAATATTAATACTTTATCATCGGCCGGCGCCGCAGCTCAACAGGCTAATCCTCCGCCTAGCGGCGCCGGCACACCGGGTTCTAGTCCCAGTCGGGGCGCCGGATTCTGTCCCGGTTGCCCCTCTTCCAGGCCATCTCTCTGCTGTGGCCAGGGAGTGCAGTGGAGGATGGCCCGGGTCCTTGGGCCCTGCACCCCATGGGAGACCAGGATAAGTACCTGGCTCCTGCCTTCGGATCAGCGCGGTGCACCAGTCGCGGCGGCCATTGGAGGGTGAACCAACGGCAAAGGAAGACCTTTCTCTCTGTCTCTCTCTCTCACTGTCCACTCTGCCTGTCAAAAAAAAAAAATACTTCATCATCATCATCATCATTGTCATCCTGGCCACCTTTCAGTCACTATTGCTAAGTGTTTTCCATGTATTGCTGAACTACTGAAAAAGTGGGTATTTTTTACTGTCCCCCCAACAGAGACAGTGAGTGGGGTGCAGAGAGGTCAAGTCTCAGGCCCAGCTCCCACAGCAGGTTGTCACAGGCAGTGGTGTCAGGAGCCAGACTCAAGTGCGCCTGCTGCTCCCTGACAGCTGGTCTCCCTCTTGTGATGGGCGGTGTGGAGGAGCAGGGAGGGATATCAGGCTCACTGCAGCAGGGAGCTGAGCTGGGCGCTGGCTCTGCCACACCACCCTTGCCTGGAAAAAGTTTGAATTCTAACTCTAAGGCTCACAAATGTCACGTATGTTTCTCATAATAAAACCTTTTCAAATGTTGGCATTAGCCTGAATCTGGCTAACGTGTAATCTCAAATAGTCCTGCCCAACTTGAATGACAGGAGCCTGCAGTGTTCTGACGGTGCACTTTGGTGATTAAGAGGGGCGCAAATGAGCCACCTCCGGCTGAAACTGGCTCTGGCAGTAAACAGTCACATAGCAGTAAGCACGTTTCCTCGTCTTTCTAAGCCTCAGTTCTAGCCTGTTAAATGGCAGTATCAGTAGTGCCAGTTTCCTAGGCTTGCTGTGGGCAACAAGTGAGACACTGTATGGAAACTGCTTCCCACGGCTCTGGTGGCTGGTCAGCTGTGGAGGAGTGAGAATGTTGGGAGGCAGTTTGCTCAGGGAGCAGCACCCGGAAGAGCCTGATGCCTGGGTTCACTCTGCTCACTGACTAGCTGTGTCTCCATTGTCAAGTGGTTTGGAGCCTGGTCCCTCGTCTGTAAAATAAAGGACAGACAGCCTCTCGTTCAGAGGGTAACGTTCGCAGAATACTCGAGTGCCTGCTGTGCAGCAGGTACTCAGTAGACTTTAGCTGCTGGGGTGAGGGTGGTTCTGTCAGGCTGCAGAGATGAGTCTGTACACAATGACTGAACTGAAGACAAAATCCACTTTTCCTCCTTCCAGACACCTGTCCCTCCTCACACAAAGCCATAAATATCTAAACTGGTAAGATTGCTAGTTTAATGTTAGCTCTTGAAAACACACAGTTGTTTGTCTTCTGGTATCTTTGCTAAAAATAAAAGTAGTAAGACTACTCTAAAAAAAAGCCAGATCTCCACCCCCAAAAAAAAGAACATGTGCCACGTGATCTTATTGGCATACTGTTCAAATTACGCAGAAATGACCCCGTGCAAGGAGCAGTGACATTGGTTATCCTGCCGGGTGACAGGGCAGCACTGGCTGTGGAGGTGCTTCTAGGTTCTCTTCCCTGGTCTGGGCACTGATAACGTGGAAATGCAGAGTTTGTGGAAAATTTAATAAACTCACAATTTGTGCACTTTGTTTGTAAATTCAATTCAAAGCCACTAAATAAGAACACTGCTAAGGGAATGGGCATTTGGCCTAGTGCATAAGACACCTGTGCCCCTTATCAGAGTACTGATTTCAGTTTCCTGCTCTGCTCCTGACTCCAGCTTCTCACTTAATGCAGACCCTGGGAGGCAGTGGGGATGGCTCAAGTAGCTGGGTCCCTGCCACTCACATGGGAGGCCTGGATTGACTTCTCGCTTCAGGCTTGGCAGCTCTTGGGGAGTGAACAGTGGACATGAGCTGGTTCTCACTCGTGTTCTCAAACTGGGAGGGAAAAAAAAGAGTGCTGCTCAGACACTGCTTGTCTGTCTGTGCTGCTGCCCAGAGGCAGGGGCCGGCTGAGGCCCGCTAAGCAGCCTGGCCTCCGTCAAAACAGTGCCCCAGGTTGTGTGTTCCAGGTGAGCGTAACCGGCAGATCCAGCCCTGCTGCCGCCCGCTGTGAGAAGCAAAGCCTTGGCTTGACAACCCAGATCAGGGACTTCTTCCCTCACATTGGTCAGATTTTGACTTGTATGTCAGTACTTCACAAAGTTCATGAGAGGCACAATTAAAAGGTAAATATTTGGGAGGAAATGGTTTTTAAATCCTTGCGTAGCTTTTCCATAAAACACGTTTACTGTGAATTTTTCAAGACCCCATGTATGTTGATTCAGGGGGAAAGTCCACAAAAGGACCTATGGGAGGAGCCCCAGAGCCATAGCCAGTCAGGACTGGTCTGAAGCCCGGCTTTGGCATCCATCTGCAGTGTCACTTTGGCTAAGTCCCTTCCCTTTTCAATCTTAGTTTTTTGGAATTAAAATGAAAATTATAATTTTAACCTTTTAACGCTGTATGAAAATGTCTAACCTATAGAGACTTGTTTCTTTTTTATTTATTTGAGATGCAGAAATAGAGTTCCCACTGGCTGCTGGCTCACTCCTCATATGCCCATCATGGCTGGGACCAAGCCAGGAGCTGGGAACCCAATCCATGTCTCCTGTGTGGGTGGCAGGAACCCAAGTTCTTGAGCCGTCACCTCACAACTGCCTCCCAGCATCTATGTTAGCGGGAAACTCAAGTAGGAGCCAGGGCCAGGAATCAAACCAGGTTCTCTGAAGTGTGCTTCAGGCCTCTTCACTGCTAGACTGAATGCCCACTCCCAGAGATATCTTCTACATGGTAGTTTATCCTAATATTAGCTTAGTCATTGTTCATTATTCTGCCCTCCGCCTTCTCCTGGTCCATCATCCTGCAGATGAGGAACCAAATCACTCAGATTAGGTGGCGACTCTCCTGGCAGAGTTTCACTTGTGACAGTGCGGTTTGGTTTGTTTGTTTTTAAAGAATTATTTATTTATTTGAAAGGTGGAGTTACAGAGAGGGACAGGGAGAGGGAGAGGGAGAGGCAGAGAGAGAGAGCCTTCCATCTGCTGATTCACTCCCCAAATGGCCACAACTACCAGGGCTGGGTCAGGCAGAAGCCAGGAGCCAGGAGCTTCTTCTGGGTCTCCCACATGGGTGCAGGGGCCCAAGCTTCCGCTGCTTTTCCAGGCACATTTGCAGGGAGCTGAAGTAGAGCAGCTGGGAATTGAACCAGTGTCCTTATGGGATGCCAGTGCTGCAGGCAGCTGCTTAACCCGCTATGCCACAGCGCAGGCCCCAACGATGGAGGTTTGTTCGGTAGAAAAGAATGATGACTGAGATGGGATTGTCTCCCTAGGACTGAGAGCAGTTCTCTGAAGTGAAGCGACTGGAGGCCAGGACCCAGTCACCTCTGGATGCTTCCATGGCACAAATAGCTCCCTCTAGTGGAGAGTCCCAGCTCTGAGGTGCTTTGGAAGCAGCCAGGTGTTGTCAGAACATTTGTCTCTATTACCAGTCTAATTTGTCTTTAGCATTATAAGCCGAAACTTCATTAATTAGCCCTAAGGAATGCTGTGATAATAATAGAAGCTGGGCCCATAAGTTCTGTGTCGTACATAAATAAATAAGCTTGCTTTCCATCCCTGTGTAGTTGGGTCAGGTGTGTAACTCAAGACCCCGACCCTCCTTAACACAGATGACAGCACCTCTTCATTCTAGCAACAACAAAGCTGCACACTGCAATCCAGGAGTCGTTTCCTTCTGAGAGTCGACCGCCCAGCAAGCACGCACCCTTTATGAGCAGTCAAGTGAGCAGCTGGAATCAGATCAGTAAATAATTTATTTTATTTCACCTGGCTAGCCGGGTGCTTCAGATCTTTCCTGACACTGATGGATGGTCTCCTCTGCCCATCCATCCCGTGTCAGCCAGAGCAGAGGTTTCACGTGGCCCCTGTGGCAAGTTCTTCTAAGTGCTAAGTGTCTGTGTGCCACATTTGCCCAGCATCCCTGCCGAGTCCAGAAAACCACCTGAACGTGCGGAATTAGTGATGCGTGCAGGCATGCTATGGAGGATCAGAATCCCCCAGTGTTCTGGTACCACTCCAGATGCCAGACTTCTGATGGGTAGTAGGGGCCACAGCGCCAGCGTTGCCATCTGCCATTTATTTCTGAAAAAGGAAGGGGATGAAAGACTCAAACTTTGATCTGCAAGACCCAAGCTTAAACCGACTTCCCACCAGATGTGTCTGTGATGAAAATCTGTATTGGAGTCTATTTAACGAAGCCTGTGGCAAAGATCTGATCTTTTGAGAACTGTAGTTTTTAAAGAT